GTGAGGGATGGGTGCGGTAGGTCATTTCCTGGAAAAGAATGTAGAGGAGCAGGTGTCAGGCGATGAGGAGGGAAGAGGATGTTCCACATAGCAGAAATAGCTGAGCGAAAGCAGAGATGGTGAGGCAGCTGGGTCTTTGCTGTGAGGTATAAGTGGTTTGATGCGGCTAGAGGGTGAACTGCTGGAGTAGAGTAGGTGAGAAAAGATAAGCGTAGTGGGAAGTCTGGTGGCGCCGGACCTTTTTAGCTTGCTGGTCAATCTGGATTTTATTGCACAGGCAATGCAGAATCATCAAAAGCTTGAAGCACAGCCAGGTGTGGTGGCACATGCCAGCAGTGCCAGTCCTTGGGAAGCCAAAGCAGGAGGACTGTGAATTCTTGGGCTGTAATAGCAACATTTCTCCCCAAGCCCGCCTGAAGCATGTTACATACAGATTTGCATATATAGGAAGGCTGTGTGGTGCACGGTACCACAGGCTCTCAGTTGGACCACATTCTTTCAAATCTGCACGTTACTCACTGTTGGGCATTTAACAACTTTTCTAAGTGCTCTGGGCCCCAGTTTTCTTAAGTAGAAAATAGGGGTGCTAATAATACTGTCATCTGCCTCTGAAGTTGGATAGGGATTAAAGGATGGTCCATGTCACAGCCTTGCAACTATGCCCAGCATGTAGTATGTGCTCACCAACTGTTAGCTTTTCATCTGGCTATGGGGTGGAGGTGGGATTTCCTGTACATGGACCCGCAACCCAAGCAGGCCAAAAATCTACTGATGCTTTTAGCTTTGTGTAGCTTCTTTCACTGTGACTGCACATTAAACTTTACATACAACGGAAAGGATGCAATTCCCTTTCAGGCAGGCACTTGGGCCACGGAGCTGCAAGCCCGGCTTTTGCAGTTCCCTTCCGTTTTGGTTCACCATGTGCATTAGTGGGTCATTTGTATGTGTGTGCACCATAGGCAAATGTAGACCCAAGGTTAAGTGCAAAAGGGGAGCTGTGTTGGCACCAAGGAAGATATAAAGCAGGCGGGGGGATGGGCAGGGAACGTGCTGTGCTGGTGCAGCTGTGGCCTGTGATGGGGAGCCCTGGGCTGTGCTGTCCACCCGTGAAGGTTCTAGGAGAGTCAGCCTCACCAGCGTGGTCACAGTGACAGGCGGAGATGGCTTGGGGGGCTGGAGTCCCAGCACTTTGCAGGCAGTAGTCATTATTTATTTATATGACTTGTTAAGAAAACTTTGAAGTCAGAAAGAGAAGTGTGTACAGAACAGCCTGTGGGGCACGGATGATAGGAATGGAGAACAGTACTTACCTGGCGCTTCCTGTTGGTCACTCACTGTTCTCAGCACTTTATTTGTATTAGCTTGTTTAACCCTCACGATAGCCCTTTGATGTAGAAACTGTTATTATCCCCATGTTACAGACAGGCAGACTGAAGTTCAGAGTGGTTCAGTGGCCTGCCTGGATCGCGTGGTCAAGTAAGACAGCTGGGCCTTGAATGCAGGCATAGTTCCAGGGGGCTTATTCAGGAACGGGAAGAGGAATGTGGACTGGGATGTCTGAGGTGTGCTGTGGTAACAAACAGTAGGGCATGGCGCTCAGGCTGGATTTGACCTGTGGGTGATATGCAGTGGTACAGCTGGGCCACAGCAGACAGGCACTTTTGGACCTGGAAGTGAAGGTCTCTGTATTGGTAATAAGTCCATGGCGTAAGCCAGACGTGGTGGCACAGGCTTGTAATCCCAGCACTCAGGAGGCTGAGGCAGGAGAATCCCTGTGAGTTGGAGGCCAGCCTGGGCTGCACAGGGAGTTCAAGGCCAGCCTGCACTATACAGTGAGACCCTGTCTAAAAAAGCCTGCAGTAGGTACAGTGAGGATTAGTGAGGAGAGGGGCACATACCTGAGACCCAGAGTGTTGTGCGTGTATGAGTGTAATTCTGGAGTGTGTTTTAGGTCTGATGTATCAGCATGTCACTGGACAGGGCCCAAGGAGGTCCCTAAGGTGAGTTGTAGGTACAATAAAGAACTTTCTTAGGCACAAGTTAAAGAATTAGAGTCTAGGCTTTCTAGAGAGATCTGGGAGCTGGGAATATTTATGTGTTTTTGGTGCAGTCTATAGAAAGTTTGGGTGTGGTTGGCTACAAGAAGAAAGATAATGGCTTATTTTACAGGTGAAAGGATTGCAGGGTTTTCCTGAGGGAGGCAGGCTCTGCTGTCTTTTTGGATGAGCATTCTTAAAAACCTTTGTGGTTACTTCTGTATATAATGCACATTGTGCCCTTTACCTTACCAGTTAAGCTTATTTATGGATTTTCAGTATCTTTCATGGATTTTGGGTGTGATGGGGCTGGAAGAAAAGAAGAATAAACAAACCTAGGGAGAACAGATATGGGTAACCTTGGATACCACTTTGATTGTAGTTAATTTGGAGACAGGCTCTCAGCTGAGCAGTTCAGGCTGGGCTTGAACTCACTATGTAGCCCCGGCTGGCCTTGAACCCTCAGCAATCCTCCTGGCAGAAGTTCTAGTCTTCTTAAAAGTACAATTTTTAAATTATGATTTTTTTTCTGCTTCAGGACCCCACAAAGAGCTCAGCAGTGATAGAATTAGAACCCGCAGATTCATAGGCTGTGATGTGGGGTGTGTCTCAAAGGCTAGTTTTTAGTTTAATTACATGCTGTTCGTTATTTGGGTGGTGTCAGGTTGGGTTCTTGAGTAGCTGCCTCTGAGATATCAATTACAATACAAGACATTTATTAGGGAGAAGTCTTAGAACCCACAGCTGTGTAAAGGAGGGGAAGGCAGCAAGACTGGCTGAGGGAGAGGTAGAGTTACACTCTAGTCCTGGTGAGGCCCCCGGCTGTGGGGCAGGAATGCTGGGCCACAGAGCTGGGACTGGCACTTCTGTTCCTGTCACTGGTCAGCACTAGGATCCAGTGAGTGACCACGCTGATGGCTGCTGGCTGGAGCCCAGAGTGGGACCGTAAATCCTTCGTTCCCAGGACACTACACATTGTAGGAGCAAATCGTTAACTTTAAAAACCTTTGGAAAACAAGGTTCCCTTCAGTAAAACAGGGAAGGTGGACATGCAAGTCCAGACATTTCATTATTAGCATTCTCAGTAAAAGCTGAGTAAGAGCTGTCCACACCCTCTGGAGGAGTTTCCAATGAACTAAGGGCCATTTGATTTAATTTCTGCATCTGTTATTATATGAGTATAGAATTACTGGCATTGAAAGGTAGTGAGAAATATGCAGGTACAAGTAATATTAAAAACAAATTCATAGATTAAAATCAACCTGGTTTTTTTTGTTGTTGTTTTTTTCCGGTACTGGGAATCAAACTCACGACCTTGCACTTGCCAGGCAGATGCTGTGCCACTGAGCTAAATCCCCAGCTCCAAAATCAACCTGGTTTTTAAAAGAATATTATTTTATCAGCTGGTCATGGTGGCGCATGCCTGTAATCCCAGCCCTTGGAAAGTTGTGGGGGGAAGATTGCTGAGTTCAAGACCAGCCTGAACTACACAGTGAAACCCTGTGAAAAAAAGAAAAGAAAAAAAGAAAAGAAAAAAAAACCAAAACACCTCCTATACAAACAAACAAAAAACTCTCAGAACATTAATGCCAAAACAGGGGATTTTGTGGGATGTATGACCTAAAAGAATTTGGAGACATCTAGTTCAAATCCCTTATTTTAAATAAGGAAGAAAGCCTTAGTTGTCAAGAGACCATGTTAAGTCTTGTGGATACTTAAAGGAAAACATTCTTGAATTTAACAAGTGAGCTTGCATTGTAGTTCTTTATGTATTTATCTAAGAAAAGTAGGGTGTGACTTAAAGCTATAAACCCTCTGTCTGAGCTTTGAAACCTGATTGAAACGGATTGTTTAAGTGTGGGTTTGTAGCCCTGTCTGAGAATCCAGAATCCTATCCCTAGTTGAATTTGGCAGGTTCAGGCCTCGCCTGGGAACCCTGATTCCTCTCCTCCCCTTATTTAGTTAGATCCCTTGATCCTCACTTCCTTCATCCCCATCGTGGCACTTTTCTTTTTATGTATTTATTTATTTTTATTTTGAAACAAGGTCTTTCTAAGTTGTCCAGGCTGGGCTCAAAGTTTCAAGCCTCCTGTCTCAGCCTCCAGGAGTGCTGAGATTACAGGCGTGCGCCACCTCACCCAGGTCCAGAGATTCTAATGAGGTGATCTAAGGCCAGTTCCAGCCTTGGCCTTATCTCAGATCTGGCAGCTGTGTGATCCCAGGCACGTTCCTTCACTTTATGTAGTCTGAGTCCCTCCTGTAAAATCGGGATAATAATATTTGTCTGCTGATACGTCATGCTTCTTTCGAGGATCAAATGATGTCATGTATCTGAAAACACCTTAAAAAGCACCAAGTGCTCTGCTAACATCAAGTATTATTATCCTGATTATTGTTCCCCTCCCCTTCCCTCCCGGGCCTCTCCGGGGATGGCTTCCTTCCAAGATTGCCTTGAGTGGCTGCAATCCTTTGTTGAGAAGCTTTCTCTGAACCATGAAATGTCACTCTGGAAGAAGCTGCCCTTGCACTAGCAGGAATTTAATTAGATTATTGGGAGTCACGAGGGAACCTTTAAAAAGGAAAGAAATTGCGTTTGAAGGAAGTGTTTCATTTCCATGATAGAAGTGTTTCATTTCCATTGATAGAAGCAGCGTTGGCCTGCAGTTATAGCAAAACACCTTCACTGATTGATGTTTGGTTTTTTTTCTTTTTGGAGACAAGGTCTTGAACCCGCTGTGTAGCCCAGGCTTGCCTGGAATTCATGGAGATGCTCTTGCCTTAGTGTCCCAAATTCAGGGATTACAGGCATGTGCCACTATGCCAGGCTGCAAAACACATTTAAGAAGGATCGTTTGGATACTGGCAGGAGGTGCCGGAACTGAGCTGGGAGGAGCTTGCATTGCCCTTTGCCCTGGCCTTTCTGTGTCCCCTTCTGATGGGGCTCATCTCTGTCCTTCTCCTCAGTCTTCCTGGTGCTGGGCAAGAGTACAGTGTACACGTCTAGTCCTGAAGTCCGAGTTCCTGAGAATAACCGTGAGTGGGATGGGGCCGTGGAGGGTGGGCAGGGTGGATGGGAGAGTGGTTTGGGGCCATTCCCATCTTCTCCCCCGCTCCTCCTCTTCCTCCCCTTTCCATCCTGTCTGCAGAGGTCAAGTTGGACTGCACCTACTCTGGCTTCAGCTCCCCCCGTGTGGAGTGGAAGTTTGTCCACGGTGACACCACCAGACTCGTTTGCTATAATAACAAGATCACCGGTGAGTCGCCTCACCTCCTCCCCAGTGGCCGAGTGTGTAGAGGAGTTGATCCTGGATGCCAGGGGTGGGGTGTACCCTGGGGCTGGTTTTCCCATTCCCCTTTCTGAGAAAGAAGAGGGCACCTGGGTCCTGTGGGTGCCATCTTTGCCAGCTTCTCTCAGGTCTCCAGCTCACCCCGTCTTTGCTTCTCCTTGCAGCCTCCTATGAAGACCGTGTTACCTTTTCACCCAGCGGCATCACCTTCAGTTCGGTGACCCGGGAGGACACTGGGACTTATACCTGTATGGTGTCTGAGGACAATGGCAACAACTATGGGGAGGTCCACGTCAAGCTCATCGTGCTTGGTATGCACCACATCACTTACCTTCCCTGTGGACCGGGAGCTGCCTGCTTCCCTAAACCCCAAGCAGGCTGCTAAGCTTTGGAGCTCATTGATGGTGACAGTGTCTACTGATGGGGGCATTCAGAGTCATGGTGCCCCTAGAAGGGAGTTAAGGGCATAAGAGAGGGTGGCGACAGCCGATTGGATGGGGTCCCCACCCTTGGTTCAGCAGCTTGCTTCCTTCTCTCCCTCCCCAGTGCCGCCATCCAAGCCCACAGTCAGCATCCCCTCCTCTGCCACCATTGGTACCAGGACAGTGCTGACCTGCTCTGAACAGGATGGTTCTCCACCCTCTGAATACTCCTGGTTCAAGGATGGGGTCCTGATGCCTGAGGATCCCAAGAGTACCCGTGCCTTCAGCAATTCTTCCTATACCATGGATCCCAAGACAGGGCAGCTGGTATGCACGGAGTGGGGCTAAAGATCTGGGGATAAAGTGGGGATAAAGATATGGAACCACTGAAGTTGGGGAGGGGGAATAAGCAACGGTGAGTTCGGAGCTAGCGTCAGGAGACTAAAGACGGAGGGTTTTTATTTTCAAGCCAAGTTTCTCTTCTCTGCAGATCTTCAGTCCCCTGACAGCTGCGGATACTGGAGAGTACACTTGTCAGGCGCAGAACGGGTTTGGGCAGCCCATGAGGTCAGAAGGTGTCCGCATGGAAGCTGGTGCGTGAGGCTGGGTGGGGACCAGGGTCTGCTTCTCCTTCTGCCATGGGGTGGCGTTGGCAGCACCATGACTGAGCGTCCAGGCGCCTGACCTCTGTTTTGTGTCTCACAGTGGAGCCAAACGTGGGAGGCATCGTGGCAGCTGTCTTTGTAACACTGATTCTCCTTGCAGTCTTGATTTTCGGCATCTGGTTTGCCTATAGCCGAGGCTACTTTGAGCGTAAGTATTTGCCCTCCTTTGTAACTACCATTCTCCAGTCTAGGCATGGTTTGTGGGTGCCACCTGAGTACAGACCCCAACATGGTGTGCCCCTGAGGACAGATGGCTGGGCCCTAGCCCCTGTCCAGTGCTGCCGGCACTTCCCCCACCTTCCATGCCAGCCTGTGCTGTCCTCCTGGAGGAGTACTCACAACCTCCTTTTTTTTCTTTTAGGAGCAAAGACAAAGTGAGTGAGATGCTGCCCCGGGGTTCTCTGAGGTTGAGAACATGGATGCTGCGGTCTGAGGCTGAGATGGGGCCTGGGGGTGGGGATGGAGTGGAGATTGGAGCTGGGGGCCGTGGGCTTGGAGGGAGGACACCTTCTGCCCCCTTTGCCTCAGATTTTCCCTCTTTCCGTTTGCCTACACTTCCCTGCTGAGTCCTCCTCTTCTGCAGAGTTTTTAGTTGTGGCCTCTAAGGTTGGTGCGGATGGTGCAGGGGGCCGGGGCTGAGCACCTCTGTGTTCTGATTGTCCGCAGGACCTCCTCGAGTAAGAAGGTGATCTACAGCCAGCCTGCTGCCCGGAGCGAAGTGAGTGCGCCCGCCTGGGGAGGCGCCCTCTTGGCTGGAGTTGGGGGGCTCTCTAGTCTGCCTTTTCTATGTCTTTGAGTTTAGCCGAAGAAGACCCTGGAGCTGACTGGGGATTTTCTTTCCTTAGGGGGAATTCAAACAGACCTCCTCCTTCTTGGTGTGACCTGGTCTGGCTCATCTCCTGTTTCTGATGCCGGTGTTGCTCCAGAGCAACCAGACTCTGGCCCTGACATCTGTAGATTCACAGGATGCCTTGTTTTCTAGACCCACAGGATCCCCCCACTTTTATCTTAGGATATAATTTTAATAGTGTCAGTTTTGTGCGCCTTCCTCTGTACCACCTTCCCTCCCTTTCTCACCACTGCTGAGTGGTTCCCCTGCCCCTGCCCTACGGGGAGAGCGGGCAGGAGCCTGGGTGCCTGCTGATATCCCCTGTAAGTAGACGCATAAGTGGCGGGGCTCCCAGGAACCTCAAACCACTACCTGGCCTGCTGTGGCCTTTGGATAAGGATCTTGAGCTGACTCCTAGGCTCTCTGCTCCCCTGGTGGGGACTGATACCAGCCGTTCTAGATTGGGGACTGCAGAGAGAGCAGCTGAAATGGTGGTTTGGTTGTGACATCATCTCTTCTGTCTGTGGAGCCTATTCGCCTGTCTTCCCATGAAAAGTGCCACCGGGACGCTCCTGCCCTGTCTTCCTGAACACAAGCAAACTGACACTATGCCTATAAGAAAATAAGGAAGCAGAGTAAATTTTCAGGGACATGGAGCAAGAAACATTTAAAACCACTGATCTAAAGGAAAGAAAGCTGGAACAACTGGATGGAGCCTTAGGAGATACCTGAAGCTCTGTGGGGATGTATGTGTTAGTCTTCACTCTTTGCTGAGAAAGAGATAGAGAATGTGTGTGTGTGTGTGTGTGTGTATGGGTGGGTGTGGGTGTGTGGTCTATGTGGCCTTCGATGTATGCTGATTGGTGTGTTGAAGGGCTTCTTAGCTCTTTGGCAAGATGGAGTTTCTGTGTGTTTGAATTAGCTGGACGGTTGCTGGAAATAAAAACTTGGTTTGTCAGTGCTTCTTTCTATGGGGACTGGGGAAATGACATCATTGAGGGTCCCTGTACAAACAGGAAAATGCCTCAAAGCCCTGCTTCCTGTGCCCTGGGGACCAGCCCCAGGGCCCTGTGTGACTCTTTCATTCCTGGAATTCAGGCCGATGTTCCAGAGCCCCCTGTGTGTGGCCTGCCTTCCTCTGCTGGAGGAGGAGGCTGGGGAGAAGCCTCCCCAGCCAAGCTCACACTGCAGGGTGAAAGGAAGTGCCTGCCTTCCTACCCAGCTGGGTGCACTAATGGGCTCCCCCAAGGCTAGAGGAAAAACTACTAAGGGTGATTTCTGCGATCATTTGGAAAGTCGTTTCTATACCAAATTAATGCTTTAGTGAATGGAGGGTTCAGAAGAAAATATTCTGAGATAACAGGAAAAAGTAGGATTTCCTCTTCCCATTTGGACCTGTTTACGTATTGCATATGGTGCTGGGGATTAAACCCAGGGTTTCATGCAAGGTACGCAAACCCTCTACCATTGAGCCACACTCCAGCTTCCCTTTTCCTACCATTTAAAAATTTTGAGACAGGTTCTCTAAGCTGGCCAGGCCGGCCTGCCTCAGCCTCCTTGAGTAGCAAGGCTCAGAGTCTTGTATCACCACATCTAGCTATTTTGGACTCTTCTGCATTTAAATTTCAGTTTCCCATCTACCACAAACCTGCACTCTGTTATGGAGGGCAAACAAAGGGTCCTCTAGGTTTGCTTTTGCTTATTTGGAGGATAGAAATACCTAACAATTGAGGTCCTCCATCCTGCCCTCACCCAGAACTAAAGATTGAAAATAGGGGCTGAGGCTTACAAGAGCTCCACCACGGAGCTGCCTCCCCAATTTCCTTTTCTCAGAGACAGGGTCTTTTTAAATTGCCTAGGCTGACCTTAAACTTTTGATCTTGCCACAGCCTCCTGAATAGCTGGTATTACAGGCGTGTACCACCACCCAGTTTCACATTTTCAGTCAAGGGTCCCCCCCTCACCACCACCAAAAGAAGCAAAACCCAAGCAATCTGTTAAGGTCCATCTGCCAAAAATATTTTCTCCAGGGCAAATCAGATACAATTAGATGACAAAACATTATGAAACGGTTCAGTAAGAATGAAAATTTTAAAGTATGTTGCAGTTCTGCGTCATGGTTGGATGGTAGGGTGGGAGGGAACTGGGGAAGAGAGGCAATGAATGGGAGAGTCTCAGATCTTAAGTTTGACGTGACAAGTTCCTCACTTAGCCACCGGTGAGCCCAAGTCTCTCAGTTAAGGAGTTTAAAACATCAAAACTAATTTTTGTAGTGTTTATTTTTCACATTGAGTTTTTCTTTTTAAATCCTAAAGTTCTGCGTTAAGAAAATTTGGGCTCCCAGAGTGACTTTCAAAATCTTCCTGATCCTGTAATCCCAGCAATCGAGAGGCTGAGGCAGGAGGATCACTGCGAGTTTGAGGCCAGCTTGGACTATATAATGAGACAAGATTGCAGCCTAGGGCTGGTGGTACAGCCCTGTAATCCCAGCACTTGGGAGGCTCAGGCAGGAAGACTTGTGAGTTTGAGGCCAGAGTTAGACTGACTCAGAGATGAAAACATATTTCACACTAGTGATATCCTGGGCTGGGGATACAGCTCAGTGGCACAAGCACCTGCCTGGCAAGTGCAAGGTCCTGAATTTGATTTCTGCTACCAAAAAAACCCTGAAACAGATTAGTGATTATCTATCATCTATCTATCTATCTATCTATCTATCTATCTATCTATATTTGTTTTTTTGGTGGTACTGGTGATTAAACTGGGGAGCACTTGACCACTGAGCTATATCCTTAGGCCTTCTTTAAATTTTGAGACAACTTTTCACTAAGTAGCCTGGGCTGGGCTTGGATTCCTGATTCTTCTGCCTCAGCCTTGGAGGTAGCTGGGGTTACAGTGTGAGCGGGCAGGCCTGGCTGATAGTTACACTGTAACTTAGCTTTTTCCATGCACCTATGCTTGAATAAAAATGACCTAGAAGCTATTTCCTAAACTAAAGGCAGATTTGGGAGAAAGGCAGTGCCACAGATTTTGCTGTTTCCTCTGACATGAACCCATTGTCATCTAGGCTAAAACGGAGTGGTGAGGATGTGTTCTTTTTTTCCTCTTCAAGGCCTATAAGGTGACGATTTGATACGTACTGTGTCATGATGAGAGCACTTTTCTAGCAAGCATGAGACCCCAGCTTGGATCCCTAGAAAAAAGGGAAAAAGTTTAACAGCACCCATGTTCTTCCTTAGATACCCAGAAGTTCCTTTAAGTTGCATAGTTGTGCAGCTCTTAACAGGATCTACAAGGTACAGCCAAAGCAGGGGATGGTGGAGGAAAATGGACTTAGTGTACTTCTGAACGAGGGGTAGGTTGGTCCACGGTGTATGGAGACAGTTTAAAGTGTAACAAGAGGAGAAAAAAATTCAATTTACTCTGAAAAAGCTTTAATTCGCAAGGTCTTCCCTGAGCCCAGGGATTGAACCCAGGGTCTTTGCACTGAGTTACACCCCCAATACAGTATGAGACAGGCTCTCACTAAGTCACTGAATTGCTCAGGCTGGGCTTGAACTTGTGATCTTTCTGCTCAACCTCCCAGAGTACTGGGATTACAGGTGTGCACCACCATGCCTGGCTGTAGCGGGAAAATCTGCTGTGAAGTGGACACTTTTATCCAACATTAACTTCCTTAGTAGCTACTATGACTGCCCCTATTTCACAGATAGGGAAGCGAGCACTGGCCTGCTATGGAAATTACTGTTGGTGCCAGTAGTGAGCAAGTGGAGATCTGGGGTTGAGACAGCTAAGGAGGGGAGACTGGGTACCCCGTGTCCTGCCCACTGGGTGGAAAGGGATGGAGAAAGAGGATGGACACTTTCTACAGAGGTGGTTGTGTAGGTGTCATTAAAAGTAATGACATTACTTTTAATGACATTTGAGGTCATTAAAAGTAATTTTAGTCTGCTGCCCCAGAGTCTGTAGATCATGGAAACTATTTTTTTTTTTTTTTAAGATTAGGAAAATTTATTGGAGAAAAGGAATGGGGAATAGGAATAGCTGCTGAGACAGGAGGGACCTCAAAGTGGTCTTAAATTCGAGGGTCTTAGTAAAATGGAAGGCCTGAGTTCAGGGTGTGGCTCAGTGATAGGGCTCTTACCTAGCCAGGTGGGAAGCCCTGGATTTGATCCCAGGCTGGGCGCAAGGTTGAGTGCCACCTTGTGGAGCAAAGGTCGAACCTCAGTGCGGTTTTTGCCAGATGAAGGAGGAGAGCCGATCACATGTGTGAATGACCAGCGGTTAGGAGGGACACCTTCGGCTCTCATGGCAGCGGTGATAACTTCCTCTTACCAAGTGAACTTTGATAGTACTAAGTGCAAAATTCTGCCTGCAAAAAGTCAACTTTGGCATAGAGTAGGAAAGCTGTAGAATATTCAGGGCCCTGAACACCCGATGCTCATGCCTTAAGATTTATCTTAGGGTCAAACGTGAAGAGGGTTGTAGACAAGTTCAGAGTAAATGATCTGGAAGGGATGGGACCTAAATCTATACAGAACGTGCTAAAAGAATCAATGGTAAGACTGAGTGTGGTGGTGCTTGCCTGTAATCCCAGCACTCAGGAGGCTGAGGCTAGGAAGATCTCGGTGAGCTTGAGGCCAGCTTGGACTACCTAGTAGATTCAAGCCCAGCCTGGGCTACTTAGTGAGGCCCCTGCCTCAAAGAATCAAAATCAAAAAGCAAAATAACCCAAAAATAAAACCACAAAAAAGCTGGGTGTGGTGGCTAATACCTGTACTTCCAGCTGTCTGGAAGGCTAAGATAAAAACATAAAAAGTTTGAGTCCAGCCTGGGCAATGTAGCAACTTAGTGAGATCCTGTCTCAAAAAAACAAAACCCAAAACAGGGCTGTTTGAGGTAATCCAGTGAGAAGGCTTTGGGTTCAATTCCCAGTACCAGTATAGTTGGCTTCAAGGAAGGAAATATGGGCCCATGGATGGACACCAAAAGAGGTTGCTTATATTTCAAAGGTAGTCACCAGGCGTGGGTGTGGTGGTACACACTTGTAAACCCAGTCCCCTGGAGAGGAGGCTGAGGCAGGAGGATTACCTCAAGTTCAAGGCCAGCCTGCACTTAGTAGTGAGTCCAAGTCCAGCGGATTGGATAATGAGAATCTGCCTCAAAAAAAAAAAAAAAAAAAAA